TCTTATGCAACCCTCATATTTACAAAAAAGGATAAAATTAATGCTTAACACTTCATAATTAATACGCTTCGAAACGTGATTAAGAAGCATTAAAAAGTGTTCTTAATACCATATTACATTAGTGGCTTTGTTTTGATCGACGCGCTAGTATATCATTTTTTATTATTATTGCATAACTGTTTGTCTTATTTTATATCAATATAGCGTTATGTAAGAGAGACATTTAGTTTTATAAACAATATAACCAATGTGTCACTATATTGTTTTGTCTATATTGAAGACAGGTGTTCATTTCTGGTATACGAAAGGCTAAATTGCCCCTGAAATATTTGCGATGTCATTTAAGCTCGTGATTTTTTGTCCTGCTGCTTATTTGGGTGTTTGCTAGACAGTAATCTACCTGAAAAGAACGGCAAATCGACGTTAAGAATGGCGCATTACATCATGAAATAAAGAAAAAAAACTAAAGAAATCAAGCATACAAAATACTGTTGTGAAATGGGGGCGTGAACGGTAGTTTGTACTTTACAGTACCGTCCATGAACAGGCTTAATCAAGCCCGTGCTAGGGGGCGTGGACTGTAGTTTGCACTTGACAGTACCGTCCATGAACAGGCTCAATCAAACCGAGCCTGCAACATTTTTAATTTTGCCGTGTTGGGCTTTCTTTGGGGATTCTTATTTCCTCTATTTTAGAGAATTAAAGGTGAAGAGGTCGAATACGAAAATTCAAAATGTTGCAGGCTTGATTTAATGAAACCTGGTTATGAATCTATGCTTTCTAAGCCAGTACCAGGGTAGTGCCATATGTACATTCTAAAAACGGGCCTTATGTTTTAAGATCTCACTTCTCTCTAGGGATTAACCCTTTTACTAGAAATGTGCCATTACCGTTTGGTTACTAGTATTTGTTACTATAAATATTGTGTATAACAAAATATCTAAAACAGTGATCACTCGGGAGCATTGAAATCAACAGAATTACATGAAAATTGCGAACTCAGGTTTTTTGAGTCTATAAATGTGGGATAATGAAAAAAGTGCAACATCCCTAACGCCCCCTAGCACCAGCTCAATTTTCAACACTTAAAAGGGCTGGAATCAACGATTTCCGAAGGACCAGAAAAATATCTGGCAAAAAGGTGATTTCTCTGAAGCTAAATGTCAGATGTACAAACATATAAGTATATGTTAGAGTTCATCCGAGCTGTTCTACAGAAATTATAAACTTCGACGGGAACGATAGCGATAGGAGAATGTTTCTAATTTCTGTAGAACAGCTAAGGATGAATACTTACATACTTAGTGTCAAGCTTTATTTGGGCTCATTATTATTTACTTTATTATGTCACTATGCGGTTTTATGAAGAACTATGAAAAATAGAAGTCGACTATGAACGAAATTCGATATAGTATCGGTTTTTGTTCTTCTATGAAAACTAACGCACAGAATTTTGAAGAAATACAGTGTTTTCATTGGATGACAAATAAGTATGTTAGTATTAATCCTTAGCTGTTCTACAGAAATTAGAAACATTCTCCTATCGCTATCGTTCCCGTCGAAGTTTATAATTTCTGTAGAACAGCTCGGATGAACTCTAACATATACTCAGTGTTCATTAAGTTTAATTAAAACGCGTATGACTGCGTGATGTATAACTATTTCTATAAATATGTTAAGAGAAATCATTCAACTAATGGCGGTAAGATCAATCATTGTATTGAAGTATCTTACTAATAAACACAGTAAATAAAAAAATTATGAACTGTTTTTAAATAGTTTTACTGATTAGATCCGTCCATATCACCCGCATTAGAATGTTATGGCAACTCACTCAAAATCAGGTGGGGGGACAAAACATTTCACCACGCATAATTATAACAAAACATGGTTACATAAGCAAAACAACAATCATTCAAAAAATGAACGACAACTTTGGGGAAACAACCATGATCGTTTGATCTAATTCTCTCGAGATATATTGTACCTCCCGGAATTTTATAAATTAATGTTTTAAGTTATTTAAATAGGAACTCTAATAACTGTTAAAGATATGTTGTAACGTTCTATGATCGTCGCCTTGTCTTGTTGGTATTTTGGTCCTCCTGAACTCCTGGCGCTGATCCTTGTCGTGTGGGGTTGCGTTCATTGAATGCCGCCTTTTCTTTGTTTATCATATTTTTGTTCTCATTTTTGTGACTTTGTTAACATTTACATTTGAAGCAACATGTACTTAACAAAGTTTATAATTATAAATAAAAAAAAAGAAAAAAAAAAGTTTATTTATTTTTTGTAATGATGTACTGTAAACTATGAAATTGACAGGGGAAAAAAAGATATTTAAAGTGGCGTTATGCTTGTTTTCTTATTAAAGTTCAGCTGAAATAATTGTTTGTTTCAAAAGATTGACTATCATCATGGTGATTGACCAACATTTGATATATCTGCCTCGAATATAACACGACTGTCCCACTCTTTTTTTATAAATTCAACGTTTGGATACTACCGAAATTCCCATGCGCCGCGTAATTTATTTATTGTACAAATGTATCATAAATTGAAAGGAATTGTGGGAAAATGTAAATTTATTTTGACGTGAACTCAACTGTTAACTCACTTTATACGCTTGGGTGCTTATAACGTCATTTTAAATATAAAGAAAATCAGGCAAAAATATAGACTACTCGATTTGACTGGTTAGGTGTAATGTGCAAAGCCGGTAGATCTTCAATGAACGAATTTATACAATTGGGCCTGTTCTTGAATAATAATAATTCGAAACGCAACATTTTTAAGCCCCAGCAATTGATATAGTCGTATTTCTTTTTCCGTTTTTTACCACGTTCCTGTTTAATGGTTCGAGTACTATTCTTGTATACTAAAGATTATCATTGGATAGTTAGTCTGGCTTTTAAATTTCATTTTCTGCATTTGTCTCTAATGCAAAGACCTTCATAACATCTAAACTTTTTTCAACATTCAATTCTATTTCTTTTCCGCCCATAGTTTTATTGTTTCGGGTCATAAATTATTTCCCCAGGAATTGTACGCCACTCGTGAAATGACGCGTAGGCAATTCACTGAAGACCTCAAGATCACCGCCGGGTGGTTTCTAAATTTTTATTTAATAAAATGTTAACGTATTGATTAAGCCGGTGCTTGGAGGTAGTGTAATGTACCTCGCAATTACCACTGCCTTTCTGGAAGTCAAGCGTGCAGCCTTTTCAAATTGACATTCTAATTGCTTGTCTCTATTTTTAGTAGCTTTGGACGTTCGATTCTAGTCTTGAACATAAAGATTAATGTCATTTGTCAGTCACCATCGAAAAAGAAAATCACGTGGGATTAGTGGTCGTTTAATAGCGGATAAATTGGTAATTACTGGTTAACTCTTGAAGGAAAGCGGTTGCCAGTGGTGGACCGAACGCGGAGATATTACCAGACTTGTATTAAAATATGCCAACCAACTAAATTAAACCAAACTAGATATAGAAAAAGAAAACACAAGAAAGAATTGAATGTAGCGAAAGACTCATAACTTACTTGATTTTTTTTATATATTAAAATAACTAAAACTATCTTGTTTTCGACTTGATCAATATGTACAAGACTTACACCTGTTTCTACTATATAATGTATACATTATAAAATATAATTATTAATGTTTTAGTTGTTATTTTGATTGAAATTTAAGAAACGAAAAATAAAAGGTTCTTTAAACACTCTTCAAACTCATTTACATAAAAACCATTGGCTATAGATGTTAACATTTTGTTGGACATCATCATGAAATTTATACAAGAAAATAAACTTCATTACGTCTCATTAGGGATTTCTCGCCGCCAACCAGTTTTTAACATGATTGTCACGAATATGTTTAAGAATTACAACCGTTTTATTTGTTGTTGTTTTTATTGGTTTTTTGTTAACTTGTTTCTATTCATCATTCATCAAGGTACAGTTATGAAATTGTTGTACTTTAATGCCTTGGTCATCCCGCGTAGCTTAAGATGGAATACAGCGGACAAGCACTGCTGTGGTTTGATCCTCGGGCGTGGCAAAAATGTTTTCCTGACAAAACATCTCTGACATTGCGTCTAATGGTATAATTCTTGTTTCAACGTTGAGTCAGAAATAATGCGCTGTTAGTTGCCGGTCATTTGCAAAGATATTAGTAGTTAAAGGGTATACATCTATATCTTATTAAATATTTTTCAAAAAAATCAACGGTAAAATTATATTGGTTCCTTTATTATATGGTTGACTACCGAAAAGGCAAGAAGTTTTGCAGCAGATATATAGCTTTATACACTTTAAAGTACTGGTTACTTATCCAGACAAAGTCGATAAATTGGAAACATTTGAACATGATCGCATAAATTTAAATTATTTGACCATAATTTTAAATTGAGCATGTTATTTTTTGAGGAATTACAGAGAACAATTTGCGTAGATATTTTAGAAGAATTATCATCATATAACTATTATGTTTGAAAGCCAAGACCTTTAGCTTGCTATGCAACTAATGTTACCTTTTAGATAAGGCCATACCAGGTGCAGGCCGGCTCATCCGCACCATGAGAATGGTTTGCCCTATACGCCATTTAGTAAATTTTAAAAAATTCCCTGAAAATGATGAATGTTTTAGGCAATATGGGCAATTTCATATAGAAAATCTAGCGCTTTAAGGGTCATGTCAAGATTTTCATTTGCTTTCCTCTCTAAATACATCTAAAGACCGGTATGTTTTTGTAAAGGACGTTCGATTGACAGCTTCGTGTCAACATCCATACAGAAATATTTGTATAACGAGTTGTCGTTACTTTCACAGTTTTATGACGGGCCGTCGTCCATAACTCATCTTGTTTAATCTGTCAAAAACGTTGCATTTCACATCGCCAGCTAATCAGAAGACGTCTTACGTCTTACATGTCGCTACGAATCGTTAGACAGCCAATCAAATTCGACGTTACGTGACTTTCATGAAAACGCGGAGTCATTTGCGTTTAAAGTATAAGATATAATACGGTGTCGCCACAGGGTTTGGTACACCGTAAAGTTGTTTCAAGAAGGGTAACCACGTTATTTAAGGATTAGTGGGACCCAAAACTTTTTTAACACAGGATGAGGTGTCTGGTGGTTTTAGTGTTGTTTGGTAAGATAATTGTTGCTTATAATTTATATTTTAAAACTAAAACAATGTTCTTTTTCTTCTTGTGATCTATCGTCATCCGTTATATAGGTTAATTCGTTAAAATTGATAGCATTTGTTGCCTTTTTTTATGTTAAGTGAAAGATCTTTTGTATTTTTGCAAAGCCGACTTCGATTCGTTTTCATTTTTCTTCATATTTTCATCGCAGTATGATACGTGTTTGCATAATTTTGTAGCAAAATGTTTTGTATGTTTTAAACAAAACTCATTTAAACTAAATGTATTTTTTTCCTTCCCATTATCAGTAAAATCCTTGCCCTTTTTTTGAAAATTTAAGTTTTATATTTCAATATAGTTTTTATTTTTTATTTTTGTTACATATACTATTTCAAACTGCTATATTATACACAGTACACTTTTTTAATATAACAATTGACTATAAGTCTGAAAAGCTTTGTAGAATGCTAAGGTTAGAAGAATAAATGTAAATTATGCAATAATTCAAGTGATTTTGCGAATTTGTATTTTCTTGTAAAATGTTTTATATTATCACTTAAAATGCATAAACTTGATATCAATATCTGCTGACGATTTTGAAATATACATTAAGGAAGCGTTAATTTATTTGTATATTTATGTTCTTTTATCCAAATGTTAAAGGTTTTTTTTCCCAAGCATGCACGCACATTGAAAAGTCTACGTTGCATATATATCCTTTTATTCAGATATAATAATGTGATATTAATAAGAAATTATTTTTATTGTGATGACTACCACTCACTCCCTTCGTAGTTTTGCGAGTTGGCAAAGTACTTTAGCATCTATCAAATTATTATATAATACAAATATATTTCTGTTGCGGAAACTGTAATAATTGTATGCGTTAATGGTGAAGTAAATTGTTGTTTTTTTTATTATGTCTGGCTAAAAAAACTATTTTTTAAGCATATTTTTTACTATTCGAACTCATTTTTTTATAACCGTTATTGCATCATTATATAAAAGTTTTCGGATAAAATAAATATTTTTTGGCGCATTTTTTTTCTAAATAATTCAAGATTAATTCATATATTATGTCTGGATCATTACATTTGTAGCCCAGGCTTTAGAATTAGTCGCGATTTCATTTATGTCTTCTTCTTTGTACTAGACTTATGTTATGAGATAAATAAAAATCATATAACAATTACATGTATTCATTTGGAAAATGCAGCAACACCAGTTTGTATATTATTAAAGAATTAGAATGGATAGCATTATACGTTTAAACGTTATATAATATTATCTTAGAATTAATTTAACCAATAAATCAAATGAGAAAGTCGCGAATTCATCGTTGGCGACCATGAAAAGGTCGCCCGATCTAGGTTCTCAATTTAACCCTATGTCACGTCTGTTATTTATGAACTCTGCATATGTTATAATCAATCTTTGACTGTGGCGACCGAATTTTGTCGCCCGTTTTTGAGGTGCCGTGTAATATGACATTATGTCTGTGTATTTAGTGTAGTAACATGGACAGGTTGATTGTTTTAACAACCTGTCAAATGAGCATAACGTACAGGGTTTCTATTATTACGCAACTGAAATACAAACAAAACACAAATTACTACGCTGTGTTTATTTTGACAGATGACAATCGCCGCACTATTTACATCTTGTAATCTGTAATCGACAATATCACAATATGTAAAACACTTTGTGAAACAACATTTGAAACACGGCGAAGAAACGGTATAACCATTCGATGATTTTATTCCTTCTTAAGCAAAAAAAAGACAGCATGAACACGGAGGCCGCACGTTGAAATTACGTTATTACAAAACATATCTAGTAAAGAAAACATGTGTAATATTTTATTGTATTACAGTAACGCGTAAGAAAAAGAAAAAAGAAGCAATATGCATATCGAAAGGTGAAGGCCGTAAAAAGAACTGCAGTTAAAATATATTTAATAAGATAATTTGATCAAACGTTCATTTCTTCCTGTATATGTTTATTTATGTCATCGCCTCTTGTTTATTTACGTCACACATGACGTCATACATGCTTCGTTGTGGAAACGGCTTTGTCCGAAAGTTCATTTTGCGTGTGAGCCCTTAAGGTAACGTTTTCATTTTATTGACTGTTTAAATTTTTATTACTTTATCATGTAAACAGTGATGAGGCGAGTTTTGATACCGCTAGGGGGCGCATACGCGCACTTGTCATAGTATCAAAATTAATAATTACACCGTGTTTGGTAATGCATTCTTTCGGTTAAAAGTTGAAACCAATCTAGATGCGAAATATTTCTACAATCTAATTAATTATTTTGATGCTTAACGCTTTTCAAATGCCGTACATTTAAAAATTACCGCGTTATTGTAACTTCGTTTTTCATTGGATAGTCGTGACGTTTATATAGTCTGCTGTCAATATATGAGGAAATCTTACTATTTTTATAAATTCGTTATAAATATTCCTGACAGGTTATATGACTGTATATAAACGGTTGATTGTTATATATTTCCAAACAACCGTTTATATAAGGCCATATAACCTGTCAATTTTTTTTAGACATAATAATATACACAGATTGTAAAAGAAATATAAAATGAGCGTAAAGTGTGAATAAAATTATGTCGATATTTAACATCCAGTCGACGTCAATGGACTTGCTCGAAGCGTCACATATAAGTTTATGATATATAATAAACGTGATACTGTCAATGTTTCAGTAACTGAAGCATTCATATAAAATACGGAAATAAAGAAAAAATCGTAGGCAGCATTTTAAACGTCATAAGTAATTTAATAAAAGTGACGTCATGAGTGTTTAAAAAAAGACAATATGCCGACGTTTTATTATCATTATTATTATTATTATTATTATTATTATTATTATTATTATTATTATTATTATTATACAAATGTGATAGGAAGTACATTGTTTGCGTGCGCATCCATTAGAATGATTTTTATAAAGACTTCAAAACATGTTTAAATTCTGATTACGTCACATAAATGACGTCATATATGATGTTATTTAGTGCCCAAATCATTTTCAATAACGTTATGATTATAATTGAATTATTTTGTTGTGTCATTTTGAACTTGATGACATTTTACGCGATGCGTGAATAAATTCTTCTTGTATTACAATCAGGAAGTGAAGTTGCGAGATTGTTAAATGTGTGCGCACTTTTTTTTATGACAAATACAAAACAAAAGATGTTACACGGTAGTCCACAATCAAACTGACAAGTGATGGGACCAACGCATGCACTTGTTCAATTACATTTTGTTTATAGACAAATCGTGGTTTCAAAATGAAATTAAGTGGCTCTTTTTTCACATACAAGAGAGTAGGTGAAATTAGTGCAAAATGTTTAGGACAAAAAAACAACAAAAGGAAAACAAAACAACAATATTTATGATACCACAAACATCTTTAAGTTCATTAAAATATTATAGTAATATTAGATAGCGGCATGACCGAATGGTCAACGTGTCGTACTAGCAATCTAGGTCGCTAGCGTTATGGGTTGAAACCCCGCCAGCGACAAATCGCTGTTTCCTTTAGCAAGAAACTTTACACTCGTTGCTCAGTACTGGTTTGTTCCAGGAGAGCGGATTCTAAAGTGTGTCTGTATGCTTATAGCTTCGTACATAATCAAACTAAAATAAATTCTTTACAAACTATTACCGCTAAGGAAGGGAAAACAGCAACAACAAATAAGACAAGTAATTAACTTTTATTTCCGTAAGCCGACTGTAATTTCTACTTTTATATACGAGTTTCATCAACTCAGCCCTTGAATGAATTTGAATTATTTTTTTTTTTCATAAATGTTCACAATACTTTTCTTAAGATTGATCATTGAAAAGAAAATATCATTTGCTCATCAGAAGTTGGGCCGCTTTAAACCTAAGATACTATAAATACTTATTTTATAAGAAAGAGTTAAAATAGCAAAATCAGCATTTCCCATTAATTAATCAAATTCTAGTTAATAGATGTATTAATACAGTTTTTTTATGTGTAAATATTTTTTTAATTAATATTCTGTATTGTGATAGATTGAGGAACATTTTTTTCAGCTGTGTTTTTATGTTAAAACTCATAAATAACAACTAATTATCAGAAGAAAAAGACAATGTTCAATGAAATGATATGTAAATAATATTCACTATTCAAATTTAATGACATAACATGAAACAAAAAAAAGTTACACCTGGCGAATAAATTTTATTGTAATGAAATTTAAATACTTTTTTTATTTCTTTCATTTTTTTTTTATAAATTAATAAAAACACCTTTTATATTTATTCGTTCTTCTTACGTAAAAAGAGGAAATAAATCTTTACAACCGGTGTATCGATAAATTAATAAATAGATAAAGCCCAGAATGTCCGATTGTTCAGTCCAATTTAAGATTGATGTTTCTATTTTGTTTTTCCTACCTATCCCTTAAAATTGGCGTCAAGAATTTTTAGCGTTAAAGTTCCAAAAGAAAACAACACCGGAAATCGTTGGATAATTTAAATTGTGTGACATCATATCCTGTCTGACGTCATTCCCTGTTTCATTTTATCATTATTGTAAGAAATTTCAAATAAATAATGTTATGTTATAATAATTTAACATGAAATAAAGGCATGTAACTGATTGTTAAAGTCTTAATAGTAAATTGTGGAAAATCATTTGTTTAAATCAAAACAACGATTCGCGCATTCATTAAAGAAACAAAAATCGATACTTCCGTGTGCAAAGTATAGTAAGTTGCTTCAAAGAATATGCCTTGCTTCAAAAATCGGTATACCGCAAATATGCTTTGCCTTACGGTAGCAAAGTTTAGAGTGATATTAAAGCTTTTCTTTATTTTCATCAATCAATTAAGATTGCATCATTCATTGATAAAACGAAAATGCTTAATTAACCACAGTTTTAAAATAGATTCAACCATGTAATTACAAGTCATGATATGTCCTCTCTTTACGCTAAGACAATAAATCATATGTTTCAAAAAGTATTTGTTAATGACGTAAGAACAAATTGCACGATTTTTGACAAGTCAATAAAGACTCGACTGACAGGATGCATTTTCCTTTAATTGATTTGTTTACGAAATAAAAAAAAGGGAAACATGAAATCTAACCGTTGATATTTGCCCTATGGCAAAAGTAAATATTCATAAGCTGTACCGACAATACACAAGTCACTTGTCAACAGTTGTTTCTTGTCAAAACTCGTGCAAATTTTCGTTCTCATTACGCAACTTGTCGAAAGGTTGAATTGGTCCATCAAAGCACACGCATGTCGAAAGGTTTAATTGGTCAATCAATTTCAAAACAAACTGCATGCGCCTTTTCTATAGGTTTGTTTATTTATTTTTAGCTCAGCTCGACTTTATAATTGAATCCTGGAAAGTGTATTTTAGTAATAGTAAAGTTGTAAACATCCCACGATTTTGCAAAAACAAAAAAAAAAAAAAAAAAAAAAAAGATCAGAAATGATGTCAATCAATGTTAGAAATGCAATCTCATTCCGATTGTTTGACTGCCTACACAAAAAAAAAAATCAAATACTTTTTTTGCGACTTTTTTTAAAAATAATTGTTTAGTAATAAAATGTTGAATTCTGCTGTAAACGGTGCTAGGGAGGGGTATGTAGGCGAAAGCTTGCTACGTTTCTAATTACTAACCATTTTGTTGTAAAACCAGCGTGGTTTGTGCAGTCTTCTCGTACATCAAACAAGAAATGTAGTATTTACAAGGTGTAAAAATGTAAGTGAATCTGATATTCGGATCAATGATTGGCAGAGTCACACTCTCAGTTTGTTTCAATTAGAAAATAAAAATAGAAAGTAATGTTCAAAGTACCTGTTCTATCATCAGAATAATAGTGGCAAAAAAAAAGTAAAACAACAAAGAATTTAAAAAAACACAAAAAAAAACCAAAACAAAACAACTTAACCAAAAGCAAAAATGACACAAAACATCCTATTATTTTTGCAATTTTTGATGCAAATGTTGAATTCCGCTTAAGCCGGTGCTAGGGGTGTGGACGGTAACTTGCACTTTCCATACCGCAATACCGTCCCAGGCTCAATCAAACCGAGCCTGCAACATTTTCAATTATGCCGTGTTGGAATCCTTTAGGGATTCGTGGCGATTTTTCCCCATCAAATATGTGAAGAAAGAAATACAGATTTCAAATAAGCCTTTTATATTGTAAGGAATACAGTTATTAAGAACAAAATTAAACTTTAAGATTAATTATTTCTAATCCATCATTTCGCCATGTGTCTTTACAGAACTGATTCAATTAACTCAAATTCACACGAAAATAATTGTATGCGGTTTGTTCGGAAATAATAGTATAGTAGTAAAACTGTCCGAATCTGTCCGAATGTGGCCATTTTTTAGCACGTGCATGACAGACAATTTATTTTACACCTTTTATAGTTCGATCCATCACAACAAAAGATACGGAAAGAGTCAAACAAGACCACATTTGGTTGGTCAACCACAAGAAGACACCCATGCTCTTACATAAACACATCAAGCTGTCAACTTTAAAGTATTGCATCGATATATCTAACTGTGTTGGTAAAAAATGATAACTGGCAGATGCATATACTCGTACTCGTATATATAATATATGCTTCGTACAATAATTTGAATAAGTTTGCAAACGAAAAGAAGTGCACAATTTTGATCATATTAATTATCGATTTTATTTTATTTCATTTCAGGGTTGGCAGGTGCCGCCTTTGGTAAGTTAGCAGACTTTTAAAATACTTTTGTCATGTTGTCCTTTTAAAAATGTTCCTTAATTAAAAAATAAAAACAAAGAACAACTCCACTGAGATTTTAATAGCCTAAACGCATGAAAATGAAAAAAAAAACTTACAAAAATCGTTTCGGCACTAAAAAAAAAAATGTTACACAGATAATACAAAAATATACTCAGAATCGAATCAAAAATAGACATAAAGTGCGATTATTAGCACGATTTGAGTTTAAAGTATTAAAAAACTTTTCTTTTCAAGGTCATTTTGCGCAATGAAATATTTATTCTGGATATGAAATTTTGAACACAGGTTATATATATGGACATACGTCAAGTGGTATAAAAAAAATCTCGAAAAACATATTTCTAGTCGAATCTTATCAGAAAAAAAACCTCAGTGGAGTTCCTAGTGGAGCGGTAAGAATCATTAGAACAATCGCATTAGGAGTACAAAAAGAATTATTTGATGAGAATTTCACATATATTTGAACTTTCCCTATTTTTATACATTTTAAATGTCTGGTATTTGATATATTTTGTACAACATAAAATTGTATGCATGTAAACTTTAAATTGTATGAATTCAATCGTCTAGTTTCTGAAATCCCAAAATAGATATAATAATGCAGCAGATCTGTTTGCAATAGGCTACATCAAAATTACTAAGTGGTACAAATTTGTCGCTACAGTATTTGTTTTTACGTCAACATTTGCTTTAAGTGATACGGTTGAAAGTATATGACGTCATTTTGACAAGTTTTTGTGTTGGAAACCCAAAAAATCAATAAATAATTTAATTTTGGGTGCCTTTCTTTATTTTTCTTTGCATATTTTTTCATTTGAAATGCTTCACTTGATTTATAGAAATATATCAGTGATATAAAATTTCACTGTTTTGAATTTAAGCCCCTTACGTTGTTTCAGTGAAATCCACTAAACAGAACTAATCAACTTAATTCGTGACGTCGCAAATATCACGTTGTATATTATTTGGCAGCTATTATTATTATTGGTAAAAGTCCTTTTAACTTTATTCATGTTAAAGAAATTTGTTTGTTTAGTTTTAGATTCTTTTCCACGAGATCCTGTAAAGCAAAACACATTTAAAATCTTGCTTGCCACCGTGAAGGTATACTTTTTTGTGCTCAACATGTGATGAATTTTGATTTAAACTGGAACTTAAAAAAAATTCCAATATAATTTTGATTTTACAATTATGTCAAGTATGTGTTCCTATTCTATGTTGTTATTTGCATTTTTGTTTCAAAATCCGTGAATTTCGTTTATGTTTAGCACAATCATATGGTAAATGGCCAAAATGGAAACAACCAAAATGGCAACCGCCTAAATACAAACACCGTATAGGTATGGACTAAATGTTAAGATAAGGCTTTGTGACGTCAGTATCTGCTTTGTGACGTCATAATAGATAAATGACGTCACCATTTGCTTTAATTCCCCGCTTTTCCACGTTCCTGATTCCCAGCTTTTTCACCCCATGTAACCAAAGACAATTTTGTTGAGTTTCAGGGATTACTTTTAAGGAACACGGAGCTTGAAATTGAGCAATATTTTGTTTTTCTGTCTAAATTTTGCTTGTTTTAACATTATTATAGGTCTGTTCCCTTCGAAATACCGCATGTATATTACATATCACTGAATGATATGTGTGTCATATTTATTATTGAAGCAACTCCTTAAGGCTTTTAATTTGTAATAAACATAACTTCCATGACCGTTTAATAACCTATAATGGCTTAGTCTGTTCAAGTGACAAACATTTTCATTCATTTTGGTGGTTAATTCGTATTAAAAAAAATATTTTTTACTCTCCCTATATATTTGGTTTCCTTCTTTGTAACGTTCATTTTCTGTGGTATTATTTAGACAAACATCCCAATCCTTTAGGCGCTTAACATTTTGACTTTGTTGTTACCAATGCGATTATTGGTTCCAATAGTTTAAGTTCTGAACAAAAGAGTACTTTTTAGACCGGTGCAAGGGGGCATACAAGACGAGGAGACTATGATTTTCTTATAAACTAACTAAATTAAATCTAGTCCAAAATTTAAGATAGATACTCGATCTACAAGGAATGAAGATCGCCTTTTTTCTGAACAATAGATAATTTTTAGGCGGTGCTAGGGGGCTTACAAGATGTTCCACCACTCAACACCTCTCATGAACAGACTGAAAATAAAACCTAGATCACAATTTTAGATAGATGCTTTTACATGATATATTTGTATAATTTTCTTGTTAACTATCAAGTTCATTTCATATATTACATTTTTATTGGCACTCGTAACCGAATTTATATTTCTGATTGGAAACAACGTATTGACATAAATATTGTATGTATGATCACTTGTACAAACAGAGTGCAGTGTAATAAAGCAAGAATTGTAACATATGTCGATATTTTATTATTATTCGTTTTATTGAAATAATATTCCGGATAATGTTATGTCTTAACATGACAATTGAATGTTTAACTGTAATTAAAATATGTTCTTTGTCGGAAATAGACTGAAATTATATGTTGTTTTCATAAATAATCACATGTACCGGGATTTTAAAACTATGTACGGGTGTTTGAGTCACGTTTTTAAAATATATCATATATTAAATAAAATTTAAATCATTTTGCACTTGCGACAAAATTTGTAATTACTGATGTAAATTCGGATCGTTTTATTTTTCGGACACACCCAGTTTTATAATTTATTTTTAGCGATTTATTTTTACTTAAGTATTCATCATTCAAAATTTTATTGCACACGTTCATTGAATCATATCAGGAAAGGCGGACATACTTCAACCATTCATTATTAATTTTTATAACATTTAAAATGTTTGTAATATTTTAATACATGTATGCGCTTATTTTAAATAACACGGCTATTTTATTGGTCAATTAAAGTTGACTTAAACTAGGCAACGTACTTCGTCAATAAAATTTGACTTTTTCTTCATTCACATAGCGTTAGATGATGTATGGTCAAGAATTTGATATGCCGTAGGCCTTCAAACTGAACTTTCTCTATTTTTATAATAGTTTGAAAGCCTTGTATGAGATAAATATGTGTATAATATGTGTATAATATGTGTATAATATAACATTGTGTTCATGTAAAATGTTTACCTGTGCATTCTGTCTGTCAATTCTTCAAATGTCTTAATGAATTTTCATTGCATCAAGTCTGTGTGCAATAAGCATCTTTTCAATCTTTTCAGGACAAAAAAAGTGGTATTCCCGGACTTTTTTAATTATACTTTATATATTTCTTTCTTTTTGTCCCGTGAAACTATTTAATTCTTTTAAAGATAGTTTTAACCACTATTTTAAATTTCATTTAAATATATTTTATTCTTAGTAAGATTTCATTTTGTGTATCACCTGTAAGAAACTTATTTTTTTTATAAACTTAAGGATCGAGTCAAGTAGGAAAACCTTATCAGGATAAACATGTAAATATTCATCGCCAAATGCCAAGATCGGCGGTTAAGGTTTTAATATTTTTATATGAATACATATACAAAACATACGATGATATTATTTTATTAAACATAAAATACCACACTCTGAATAATAAAGAAAAGTCAAAGAAAAGTAAAAATAAATAACATGGCATTAAAAAGTTATTTTACATGTTTCTTAACAAAAAGTTTTGGTATTATTCTCTTTTACGCAATTCTTAGCAAATATGTTAAGTATCATAACATTGTAAAATCTGTTCACGTTTGGAATCTTAATGTTTTACCTTTTATTTTACAGGAATCCTTTATAAAGACTGTTGTTTTTTTGTATCAGATATACCATTTTAACTCGAATCTGTGGCCGATAACGTCAACATTTTTTTCTTAAGCAAACGTTAACTTTTTTTTAATAGACACTTTTAGTTTATTATCACAATAAAATTAATAAACTGCAAAGGCATGACAGAAATTAGTTGGCCACAGTGTTCAGTATGGACACTTCAGCCCTAAGCATAACATATTTATCAAGTTTCGAGTTAGAATCGTATAATCCAACCCTTTTACCCTTTGGTGTGTGGTATTTATAAACGAAATCCCCATATTTCGCAACCGCAATAGCTTATTTCATATCACCTTCCTGTGCTAATGCTTTTACCTAAATCCCTATACCATACCAATTTTGCAGGCAACCTTTACGGAAATAATTACGGAAATAACTTCGGAAATTCGTACGGAGGTAAAGGCGGGAGCTACGGTAAAAACACCCATACACATAAACACACCCATACTACGAAATATGTGGAGAAAAAAGGTGCGTATAAATAATTGTTCAAGTTCGATGCGACGGATGGACTAGAATTTACAACTATATCTCGGAAGTCCGTATTCATAAAATTAAAATCTGAAATTAAAGTCCCTGTCATTTATACATGTATTAAAAAAGCTTCAGATGAGTAGGGATCTGTCCGCATAGTGTGGATTCTTTAACGTTTATTTAACAATTCGTTAAACGTCCAATAAGACAATTGTAAGCAAACATTCATGTCTCAAATTTTACAGAAATAAATATTATAAAAAATGAAAAAAAGAAGATATTTCTTGATCGAAAACATATGTCAAAGTACTCTTATGTCTATATTCTATTTAACCGATTGTATCATTTGTTTATTCGAGTTAGTTTTCCTACATGTCTTTAGTTTATTGCCAGGTTCACAAATTTATAGTTAGCTCCCCTACCTTTAGCAATTTTTGTAGTAAGCTCCCCTACCTTTAGCTTTTTTGTAGTTAGCTCCCCTACATTTAGCATTATTGAATTCAAAATGTGTATAATTCCTGTAATTTCTTTCCCAAATTGCATGATACTTTGTCAGTGCTTATTTATAATATGCTAAGATTCAAACGGATAAAATTACCTTTTTAATTTTATGTTAACATATAAGATACTCACATAGAAAATGAATTTTAACTTTAACGTATGTTAAATATTAATTACTTAATGCTAATATTCAAATAGTAGTTATATATTGATTATTTAATGCTGATATTCAAATTGTAAGTTAAATTATTATCTATAGCTAACATTCAAAGTGTAAGCTAAATATTGATTAAATAATGTTAAACGTTCATCTTTAGCTTAATCATTAAACATTGTTCTACATAAATTTAATGTTTAAGCTAATTGCTAATTATTTTCCTGCATGAACTTTAAGTGTAAGCTTTTTCTTGATTTTTTTTATAAATTAAGTGTAAGCTTAACATTGATTTATTTGTTAAACATTATTTAAACATTAATAAATGGGTTGTATCTCTTCTTGTTGTGCGTGCGTTAACTTGAAATAAATTTGACATTCTGTATAAAGTGTTGATATAATATACAGTTATTGATTTTTTTTCTGTTTTTGTATTCTTACAGTGCCAGTACCAGTGCGTAAGTAAAAATAAAAAACTTCTTATTATAATTATTAAAATTATTATTTTGTTTTGCAAATTTATTGTAAAGATACAGGCTTTTTTAATCATGATTTTATTTTGCCGGATACAGACACAAGTCAAAAGATTATGTTTCACGACAATTTGAATAAAGCTTTCTCTATTCCATAAAAGAAACACCGTCGAAGTGTTTACATTTTTTTCAACAAGCTTAAATACTCGTAAATATGTTTGCCTTCAAATGTTTCCTGCCAATTGAAAGAGTCGTTTCAAAAGTTCTGCATGAATACCGATTCCTAAAATGTAAATGTCTGTTCATAGTCTGATCAAAACATTTTATTTTCTTTCATTTTCAGATGTGCAAGTACCTAAGCCATGTAAGTGTTTAAAAGTACTATCATTATTTTCATGAGTGTAAGCAAAGTAATAATGAAATAACAAAAGGTTTTCATCTGTTTTGTAAAACCATTGCTTTTTATGTAGTCTGCGCAAAGTTTGATTTTGATTGTTAAACTTAAAAAAAAAGCCAAGAAATCAATATATCTTATTTGCATTTTTGCCGTCATATACGTAAAAATGTATTGTTTTATTTAATTATTTATAATTTTAATTTAAAGAGATACTATGATTAAATTCTATATTATAAAAGATTGATAAATGATACACAGTCTCTTTGTAAATATAAATTAATCATGTTTTACGTCACACAAAGTAGATATGCTATGCTAAAAATAATTATGAAGTCACAATATGAATATAGCGTCATTAAAAACTGCCACTTTTTTTTTTAAATAATACCAACTTTACTTGACCTGTAATAGGGAACCTAGATTCCCATAAATAGTATCATTCATTATTTTATTCAAATTAGACATATTCAGAAAGATTTAGATTTCAATACATTTCTATGTTTAAAATGTTTTACCCAACGATGAGTATAGTATATCTTTAAGTTCAACAACCAGTCGATGCACTCGAGTCCTTTCTTACAAGCTACCACAGTATTTACCAGATGGTTTGAATCAGACTGGTTCGCCAACGAACGCTTTAAATGTTCTGGACTGGAACCTTCTTCTTTATAAAAAACAAGACAGCTTCTGTTGAAAATGTCGAATCTTTAATTTTTGCTCTTTTTATCATGTACATATTTCATTATTTTTCATGTGACAGTTAGGTTGAATAATTGCATCGATTAATATTTATGTACAATGATATATCGCTGAACGGAACTTGAGTCATGTATAATCTGTTAGAACGCTGCACGTTCTCTCACGTGCTAATACTATGTAAATAATAAAGCTATTTAACCCAAAGCACCTGCCGCGTATTTGATTGAAAATATTGTAGAAAAATGGGCAGTACTGCAAAATCATGTGCGAGCAACGACATGTCGGCGTTTTTATTCAGTCTTCTGCACTCTCATTAACTTTACATATCATGTTTAAAACTAAAACGGGAGGAAGTAACACGTGGAAGTACACAATGCATGATTGTTTGCACGTGCTTTACGTGCTTAATTATGAAAAAATATAATATGTTGTTCATATAGGGCAACGTTTTACATAATTGATATGTTTGTAATAGAACTTATATGACAAGTTTTGATAACAAGGAAAACAAATGTTGAATTACATAATTGCAAAACAAAAGAATATCCATAAAAAGAATGAAAATGAGGTTAACAAAGTAAAAAAGCAAAACAGGAGAACACAGAATACAAAAATAAATAATTATGTAAAAAATGAAATAAATATATAAATTAAAGAAATGAATAAATAAATAAATAAATACCGGTAAAATATTTCACATTTATCGCTATTTTATCAAGCATCTAGCATTCTAAAACCGTTATTCAAACATTATAAAATCATATTGCCCTTTCTAAAGAAGTAAAGATGTATTTGTTAGTGAGGCATAATGCGCCCTTTAGAAAGTTTTTTTTCCATCTACAAAGGCGAGTTAGTCTTCAAACATGTAGGAAATGGAAAAAAAAAAACAAAAAAAAACATCAACATAATTGAACAAGTCATGATTTTTTTCTAGCATCTACTAAGGCAATGTTGTTTATTAGCCAGCATAGAATTGCGGTTAATAAATCGATATTAATCGATATGTAGATAATAATTTTGTATTTTTATTTTACAGACCCTGTAGTACGTTATGTTCCCGTACGAGTCATTCAGCACGTGCCCGTGGAGGTTGTAAGGAAGGTACCCGTGCCACAACCTTGTAAGACATCATCAATTTACACTATACTTTACAACACAATAAAAATGTTGTATTTTTTTTCATTACATATAACACGTTTACAGGTTTATTTTAGATGATAATTTTGAAATATTTTTCATAACTTTTTTTTAATAATAAAGCGATACATATATACCAAGTATTTGACTACTGATTTTGTTTACCGATACTTGTACGATAATCGATTTTTTGAATGGAAAACCGTGAGTTATATGACCTTATATCCGTTCCAACATGGTCATATAACCTATGAAAACTTTTATAACTTATATACAAATGTAATATATTACCTATAAGAAATTTGTCTGAACGGATATGTTCTTTCTTACGTTCTTTATAGCCTTGTTATATCTTGTTGCTTATCAAATGTTAGAATAAACGTCATACTTATTGTTTTAGACCCAGTTGTCAAGAAGGTACCAGTTCCCGTGGTAAGGACCGTTGAACGAAAGATACCCATTCCCGTTCACAAACCAGTTCCATACCCAGTTGAGCGAAAAATACCCGTGCCAGTCCACGTACCAGGTGCTTGTTATAATACTTCTTAGACGCTCTGTTACACTGTATATAAACCCTTTCACAAATATGTTTTACTAAGATTGTAACAAATATCGATCATATAATAATCTCATATAAAGTTTTATTATTTAAAATAATCTCATACAAAGAAAAGTCGCGAAATATCTCTTTTTACTTTATACTTTAAAAGTTTATGTTTCTTATAATAATATGCATCATTTGAGAGCATAGCAATACTCGAGAGCAGAGAAAATCCTTACTTTTTGAGCATAGAAATACACTGTAGTAATACTAACTATTATTTTCAGTTCCAGTACATGTACCAAAACCATACCCAGTGCACGTGGTGAAAAAAGTACCCGTACATATTCCAGTCAAAGGTATGTAGAGTTACGAGTATCTGATAGCACGTAAAATAATCTCATCTACTGTAGTTACAATCTTCATTTACATAAATACACGTATAGACAATATATAGTTAGTTTTTCAATTTTTTCTTAATGTTTGTGCATCATTTGCAACGGCCATGATATAGAGGACGAGTTCCACTATTTTCTGTCAGTTAGTTATACATTGTTTTCATACCTAATTACTAGGGTATGATGGTTAACAAATAAGCAAAACCAAAATGTTCACCTAATGATATAAAGGCTTTAAGCAAATTTATTAGAATTCTGATCTTTTTCTTCACTTTTAATTGATAATCATAGTAGCAAATTAATGCCAGGCATCTAGTTCAAAATCACTAACCCAAGCATCATTATAGACGCTGCAGTTAAAATCAAAATCTATTTCCATTATTTCTAGTATTTGCGCTGAATATCTTTTGAACAGTGAGATTGTTTAATTATTGATGCAATTTTGTTATTCATGATCATATAGCGTCACTTTATGTAACCAATATTTTACTCGTATATTTCAGTACCAGTCGTTGTACCTAAGCCTGTACATGTTGTCCACAAACAGAAGGTACCAGTCCCAGTTCCCGTACCTAAACCGGTTTATATTCAAAAGAAGGTTGCCGTACCCGTACCTAAACCTTACCCAGTTCACAGACCATGTAAGTTTTCGTTATTATAAGTTATTATCCAAAATATTAAGAACAGATGTGTCATTTTGAATAGCAAAACATAACGGATAATATCATGTTTAAACAAAAAACCTCCAATTAACTAATATCATTCAATTAAAATAAAGAAATATCACTTTAGTATGAATCTTATTTACACACCGGAATTGTTCCTCATTCAGGCAATGGCAGTTGAAGTCATACTATGTATGTGTTTGTTTAGTCACCGTTTCTTCTTTGATTTGATCTATATAATATGTTTAATTTGCTTGCTTTCTTAAATTTCAGACCCAGTTCACGTTAAAGTGCCAGTACCCAAACCTTACCCAGTTCACGTACAGGTTCCAGTACCTAAACCAGGTTTGTGTAATAATATTTTGAAATCAAATGAGACGTCACGAAGATGACGTAACATATTCTTTCTACCTTATTAGAATGAACTCAACTGAGGTCCAAAAGCCTCAAAACATAAAATTTAAATTTTCTTAGATATATTAGCTGGAGTACTAGAAACTGAAATATACTGTATGCAAACGATAGGTAAGAAATATAATAAGAAAATAAATTAATAATTTTTTCTTCAATATTTGCTCAATTTTCACCATTGAAATAATATTTATTCTAGAAAAACGGAGTGAATTATCTACTGGTCTACACCTACACAAAATGGTTATAAATGTCAGAAAATTTTTTTTTTAGCCACGTCATGTCACAACACTTATGTCCCTTTAATTGTCCTGTTACTAGAACATATGAGCCGCGTCACGACAAAACCAACATAAAGGGTTTGCGACCAGTATGGATCCAGACCAACCTGCGCATCCGCGCAGTCTGATCAGGATCCATGCTGTTCGCTATCAGTTTTTTTTAACTGTTATAGGGTCTGTAAGCGAACAGCATGGATCCTGATCAGGCTGCGCGGATGCGCAGGCTGGTCTAGATCCATGCTGGTCGCAAACCCGTTATGTTGGTTTTGTCATGACACGGCTCATATATTAAAATAGCAATCATTTACATCTAATTATACGACGAGTTGATTGGTTAACTAAAACATGTCAGTTCACTCGAAAGATGAAATAAAATTTTCTTCTAAACATAATTAAAGCAAGCCCCAAATAGATCATTTTATGACAAAGTACTATCAAAATACTGTCCATCTTTAAGAATGTTAAAAATTGACATTTATATATTTACTTCTGATTTAATTATTTTGTAACGTTATGTATCGTTTTATGTAAACATTTTTTATTCGGGGTTTGCTTTTTGTGATATTAATTAAAATCAAATTTGTCAACAACTTTGACAGAAAACTGTTACTGCCATTGTCACCGCCTACAAAATGATAGAGACGTAATTTTAAGGTTTATTTTATTACAAAACTGATTATTGTTCGAGCAATTAAAATCAAGAGGTGACTGATGATTATAAACATTTTGATTTATGATTAAATATTTCTATAACATTAAAGCTGCATGCCCCCCCCCCCCCCGATGAGATATTTAAAGAAAATCTTACTTAGGAAAAAAGTTGCCGTTAGTGATGTTATCCTCCACCGGTTGATATTTTATTTTATAATTTTTGACATGACGTCAAAATATTTTTGTAATGACGTGTTATGACGTCATTCTTAAAAAATGATATGCAGCTTATAAGTTGAGCAGAATAAAACACCGAATGCATTCGAAATCGGAATGAATGAATACATGTATCTTGTACCAATTTCTTTGACTGTTTTCATTCAAATATTTCCGTAAGTTTACGTATACGTCATATTTTTTGTATTTTCAGTTCCAGTAATGGTTGAGAAAAAGGTCCATGTCCCAGTACACGTCCCAGTTCATATCCCAGTAGAACGTAAAGTTCCAGTCGCTGTTCCAGTTATTAAAGAAAGGCCTGTTCCATACCCAGTTAAAGTGGCTGGTAAGTTCAGTGGAGTCCCTTTAATAGTCCTGTTACTATTTATAGGAAATCATGTAACCACTTAGTGTCCGAAAATATTGTTTAAACACTTAACTAGTTAAAGTGACCGGTAAGTTAACAATGCATGTAACCACTTAGTGTCCCCGAAAATATTATTTATACACTTAACTAGTTCAAGTGACCGGTAAGTTCTCTACACGTTACCATTTTAAGTGACCGATAAGTTGGACAATACACGTAACTTGGTAAATTTACAAGTAAGTTCTCTTTATACTTGTAACAAAAACGACACGATTGAAAATAGTGCAAGCTCCGTTTGATTGAGCCTGTTTCAGTTTTAAGTTGTCTATTTATGTAACTATTGAAATGAGCGTTTTTGAACTCCTCTATACATGTAACCAGTCTTATATTGTCGCACTTTTCATAAACATACCTATTCCATGAAGCAGTATTTTTAATTACATTAACAAAAAATGTAAATATAATTAAATAAATAAGTAAATAAATAAATAAAAAAAATACTATTTATACATGGCGCATTGCAATAATATAACATTATAAATTAAAGCACTTTTATATGCTTATTAATATTTAATGCATTATCTTTATACAGTCATGACAATTTTATTTTATAACACGTAGTTCCCGTACCCAAGCCTTACCCCGTAGTACACAAGGTTGCTGTTCCAGTGAAACAACCCTACCCTGTTCCAGTAAAAACACCAGTAGCTGTTCCAGTTGAGCGAAAAGGTAAGTTCTGACTGACTGTGTGACTGATTGATTGATTGATTGATTGATTGATTAATTGATTGATTGATATTTTCTCTTCAATATAAAAGTTATGTTTTCATTATTTTCTAAAAGCATTTTGTCAGAAGTGAAGCAGCATGCCTCCAGATTCATGCATGTTTTTATGAGCATTTTAAAAACAAATATATTTGTCAAACTGGAATATAATGTTTTTATCACACACCCGTGCAGCTTTAACGTTTCCGTAAAATGGTATTGCACGGCCGTGCATATATTTTGACGTGACGTCATAATATTATTTTATCCAACTCGTTCAATAAATTCAGTATTAAACTTATATTCATTTAATATCCTCTATTTATTTCAATGAAATCGAAATATTTTGATACTATCATATTTTGTTCACTTTAATTATTATACTAATGCTTCAATCATATCTAAGGAAAATTATATTATGTTTTAATTTTATTTTGTTATTCTTATTTGTTAACATGGCATTGTTACAATCTTATATCAAACGAACGACGTAATTAAATTTAATGCTATGCCATGATATGGCTTTTCTTAATATAACAAAACGTTAATTATGTATAAAACATAATTATCAAAGAAACTAGTTCACAGTCAAAATCAAAAGGAACATCGTATTTAGAGTGTAATAATAATTTTATTACTTGTTGTTTACATTGTAAAATAGCAGTTATCAACATACTGACATATTAGCATACATATGATTGGCCCAGGTGGGTTATACAACCAGTTTTAACATTTACAACAGTGCCTCGGATAAGCCGGGCACCAAACACTTCCAGTGTTTACAGCTTTATGCAAATTGTCTGACGTGCTTTCTAGTTGATACACCTAGTCAAACATAGCCAATTATTGAACTGGCTTCGTTCTTATCACTGTTAATAGAGGTTTGGCCTAGTCTTGAATAGACTTTGCGGCTTAAGTTTGTTTCTCTGATACACACCAAATAGGTCCGTTCTTTTGGCAGCTCAAACACTTCTAATTTAAGACTCCCCAAAAAATATATCTATCCAAGCCTAATAATCTACGCATGATTCCTAGTTGTGACTCATTTTGCTCTTTGTAGCTGAATGGTTGCGTTATGCCGCATTTAATGGTTTAGGTATAATAAACTGCATCCACCGTTAATCCCAGCGTATTCGTGAGAGGCGACTAAATAACTGGAGTCTATGCATCTCTTAGCTCCAGTCGGTTAGGTGGTTTTGATCTCTGGCGTTGCTTTGAATATTGTAACACCCGAGATTTTCCAAAACTCATCTTTTTTGTTTCGGCGCCATATGACCTATACAGTGTTGGTGCACCGCAAAAGCAACCACACAAATAAACACATTTATGTTTTGTCTTTTCAGTTCCAGTACCTTATCCCGTGAAACACAAGGTTCCATACCCAGTTCACGTTCCTGTAAGTATACTATGAATCGGAATCATTCACCGGTCCTTGTTTATATACTTTCTCTGGGTAACAAAAGACAGATACTACTGATCTTAGCAAATGTGGGTTTACCAAATCTACTCACGTGATACAAAATCTATTTTTAACTACTAATGTTTAACGCGTTTGCTTCTTTATTCTGAATGGCACAGCGCCTCTTCTTATTTTATTTAGGATTTAGTAGATTTTCGTTATAAGATCGGAAAAGAATGCAAGAAATTGGCAGTTAACCTCTGTCTTAAGTATTGATAATGTATCGGCATCAAAAGAACACTTTTTAACGCTGAATCTGACTTACCACTAAGGAATTTATTTTTAAGGAAATGTTCTTATTTTAAATTTGCAGGTTCCTGTTAAACAACCAATGCCTTATCCAGTTGTACAAAAAGTCAAAGTTCCAGTGAAGGTCCCGTACCCGGTACCCGTCCAACCCAAGAAAGGTATTTACTAAATTTCTAAACCTTAAAACAATTATTATCATTATGTAACCGAAACAATGTAACATGAATAAGCACAGCAATAAGTTCAGCAAACATTTAAAACTTGTTAAAGAACTGAAAATTCTTTACCATATTAATAATTATATAACAGAAAGGAATCAAAGAGCAGTAAGCACTTTTCAAAGCTGTTAAATATCTGCCCACATAAACCACTAAATAGGGTTGAATAATAACGATAGTTTTGAGTAACATATTTTTTGTGTGTCAGGTTGCCAACCATTTGTAGTATTGTAATTATTTGGAAATGATTTACTAAAAAATACTTTGAAAATGAATATTTATGATTGTCATAAACACCAATTACGTCATTATCACAGGTCACTATTCAAGTAAGTCCAACCTTTGGATAAATTCCCCTGCAGCAGGAAAAATCAGTAAAGATGCTTTGCCTAACCATTCCCTTCATTTGCCACCCCAAAACAGCAACAGTCTGGACACTACAATATTCATTTTCCCCATCTTATTTGTACACTAAAAGAGTTAAATAAATTAAGTATAGTATATGCCGCAGTAAAGGTCATCTTTGTTTATAGCCAATGAAAATGCTTGCTTTCCCGCTCAATCTTTGTGTGATGCTAACTCTCTTTTATACAATATAACAAATATTTCTTATAATTATCTGAATATTTCATGGAATTAACAGCACCTATGAGAAAACCAAAGAAGTTTCAACGTCATTCAAGTGAGGCGATACGTTTTGTTATTTAGAAAGCTTGCTTTTTTGTATTACAAGTATTGCTCATATGTTTTGCTTAAAAATCACACACTGTATTATATATGTATGTCAATACCAAGATGTGTTATAACCCGTAGGTGCTTCATATATGTGTCTTCTTATATATTGTATTCCCCGAACACGTAGACGTTAGAGTATTATATGTTCACGTAGTATAGAGTCACATATTATCTCAAATATATTGGAATTGATCGTGAGTTTAGGTTATATGGTGACGAAATGTTAGATTTGTTGAACCAAATCTTGATTAGCAGATATTTGTATGTAAAATACAGCACAGACGTTATTGACGTTAAAAATTCTAATAATAATAATTTTTGTGGTTTCGCTTTTTATTTAAATGAATACAGTATAACTTATTTTGTTTGTTCGACTTCTTTATTTGAATTTAAATCGGGGTTGAACTAATTAAAGAAAAATCTGATTTGAATATAATCTTTGAATAAATCTAACGCAAAAATTCTGTAATGCAAATATATATGTTTTTTAATGTATTTTGCAATGAAGCATTCAAAAGAAATGTATTTCAAAATGTAGACAGACTGGCAATCTTTTTGAGCTTATGATATCACTTATTATAATAACTTTAAAACTTTCTAAAGTGTCTTCTATATATAATATATGATAATTATAATTATACTGAAAAAGTAATATAAACTCACGTACCTGCTTTGTCACCTGCTATATTATTGTCCATTTCCCTCCATCACAATTAACACTATCATCACTTTGCAATAGCATCTCATCATTATCATCAACATTCTCATCAACATGATCTGTATTACTATCGTCAACATCATCCTTGACTTTGCCTTCGGCATCGTCATCAACAAATCCGTCAACGTTATCGCCACCGGCAATAAAAGTTTATCACCCATCATTTTTATCATCATCACAATCATCATCCTTATTATCTCCATCATAACAGTCATCACCACCACCACCATCTTTTCCATCTTATTAGCATCATCCAACTCAACACTATATGCGTCAAAATCGACGATGCAATCGACAGCAAAATTGTTGTCATCGTTATCCTCGTTATTAACATCTTCGTTATTTTCACTTTCCTCAGCACACTTCTGATATTATATTGTTAACCTCATTATCATTATCCCTATCCTTCTGTAGTGGTTGAAATTATATTTCGTCCACTGAGATCGTTCTATTTCATTTATTTATTTATTTGTTTGCTAAATCGTCTTCATTTTAACCACACCAGCTTGAAATTGTAATGCTGTCCCGTTAAATAAGCGTATCATACTCTGCATCCACCGAATAAGGAATCGAAAAATAATTTCAACCACTGTTTTTAAGTCACCATAAATTTCATTAAAACTGTTGCAATTTCGGCCGCACCAGTCATATCTAATTTTATCTATGTAGACTAACATACACTTATCTGTACAGTCATGTAACTCCTTAGAATATACCTTTGCTTCTTTGCTTTATTTAACCAATTGCTTTTCTATTTATTTCGCTTTTAGATTACAAAGGCTATTCCGCCAACGCATATTAAGTAAGTATTAAAGCATATTCCTTGCCATATTGTTGTGTAGTTTAATAAAATAACAATATCACCAGGAAAATCAGTGAAGGAAGGCAAATAAAGGCAAATAATGGTGCTATTTATCCAGGCGGACATTTTCGTATATGGAGATTTTTGGTCGAACGGATTTGTTGAAATCCGCCCGGAGAATACTTGTTCCACATAAAGTTAATACATTTCATGGAATAAAGTATACAAGGTGTTTTAAGCACATGGGGTTGGTAGAGGTGTTATCCTAGCACCGGTGTAATCAGAAGAAAGTTTCTATAAACTGTCTTTTATGCAAAATGTCAATAAGATTGATGCTTCTATGTCGTTAACATTAAAATTGTACAAGTTTCATAAGAATCAATTTAATTTTTGTACGGTGGCTTTGTTTGTAATGATTATACATTTGTTCATATGCTAGCATTATAAACTATACGAAATAGTCTAGCATTTATAAAGCTGAATTTTATCCTGATGATAAATACAATAAAATTATCTATTTATATTTTTTCCAAAATATCAATAAAGAAAATCTTATAAATAGAGTAGTCTATTAACATCATTCTAGATATATAAATGGTTTGGTTAAGAACCGATTGATCTACGTGTTTTAAAAATTAAAATGAACAATCTTCTTTTTTTCAGGATGGTAAAAACTAAAAGGAACCGGAACAGTTTTATGTGGTTTCCATAGCAACCAAAATTAATTGCGAGGAGCGGGGTATACAGCTTATTAGATTTAAATTTCCGTCGTTATGGCTATGACGTCATTTCTACTGTTGCAATGATTCCTTTTTTTCCGAAATTGTATCATATTTCTTCGTAGGGCCCGTTATACTTTGTTTAAATTTACTCATCTTTTTATGAGATTTTATTCTGTTATAGAATTAGATTATATTGTCAATTATCGCTCCTTTTTTATTGTGTGCTTATACGTGTTGTTTTTACATCTGAATCATTCTTTGTGACGCCACGTCTGACGTCTTATGACGTCATACATGATGTCATTTGCTAGTGTAATAAATAATCGGACGAAAATCGTTCTTTATGGTACAACAAATGATTCGCTAACCTGGCATAATTTTATAATTCAAAATGGCAAATTATTGCTCAGTTTTGCCTATAAACTACAAACTATTTGTTAAAATTTTACTCGATAATTTCGAATGCGACCTGAACAAGTAGATCTAAATGGTATTTATATGCTTGACGATGGAATTCAACTGTTATCTATTAAATAAAACTTAGATTTTACATTA